GGAGGTGAGGGTGTGGAATAGTATCTTGAAGATGAACGTGCCCCCAAAGGTTAGACATCTCATATGAAGATTTGCGCGTAACTCATTGGCGACAGGTGATCGTGTTAGCTCCAAAAGCGAAAGAAGAGGAGATGCATGTCATTTTTGCAACCTGAGAGAGACACAACTCCATCTTTTTGGGGAATGCAGCTGGTCGTGTTAGATTTGGAGAACCTCCAATCTGTCACAGTGGTTCGACTTGCGGGAAGGTGGGGACTGTCTACTTTCGACCCAGAACGTCTTGGACAAGGCCACAACGACAGAATTTGAACACTGGGCAATACTCCTCTAGTTCTTATCGATAGAACGCAACGCCCATCTGTTTAATGGAGTGAAATCACCGAAAGAGAAAATTGTGATGAGAGCGGCTACTTTCGTGGACGAGTACCGACAATACTAGGCGAATGTGACGTCGCCCCCAACCCAGGAAGTGTCACAGCGATGGATGAGGTCGGCGGTTGGACGAATCAAAGTTAATACAGACTATGATATTGATGCAGAAGGAATGGGGCTTGTTCTGATGATAAGAGATGTCGAGGGTCGATTTATAGTTGCTGCAGCTAAATGAACGCGAGGAGGAAATAAACCGGAGCTGGGAGAGGCCTTAGTAACGGAAATGGGTCTACAGATTGTTGCCCAACACTAGCTTGGAGTGCCTACTCTCGAGGTGGACTGCATGAATCTTGTCAAGAGTATTAATGTAGCGCATGAACTCCATACCGAGGTTAGCGTGGTGTGCAGGAAGATAAAGAAACTCATGTTGGAGGTAGGAGGTGGTGATTGGCAGTATGCTAGCCGGAAGGGAAATGAAGCAACACATGTCATGGGTCATACGAGAACTAGATGGGACGAAGCAGTAGTCTAGTTTGACAGACCACCCGTTTTTCAGCTTAATCAGCTAAATTCGGATGATGTAACAGTTTCGCATGATTAATAAAGCTACGTGCAGATTTCTATAAAAAAAAATCCTCCATGTCCCGTTTACAAGCAACCCCCCCCTCTCTCTCTCTCTCTCTTTCTTTCTTTCTTGTGTCTCTCCCTGTTATGTTTCTGTCGTCTTCTTCTTCTTTCTTCTCTCTCTATCTCCCAATCCTTCTCTATTGCAACTGCAAGAGAGCTAATTCATTAATGGAGCGCAAATTTGGAAGAAGATGGAGCACATAATTGGGAAGGTAATACATTGATTATTTGGGTTGGAGAGAATCTAGAAATATGGGATTTGTTTTTTAGTTTGGACCAAGTTGTAATGTTGGGATAAGGATCAGGGCGTGGATGGTGGGGGTTTTTAATCAATGCTCGCTTTGTTTAAGTTGTATATCGGATCAAGATCCGCTATGTTCTAGCACAAATTGGATTAATCCGCCCCAACACGAATTAGATTGGGAAACATCCATAAGACCAAGTCTCAATGGTCATCCCTACTTTTCCGTTTCATCTTGCAGTTGGATTTTACAAAGAAACCGCTTATATTGTACTTTGATAGAAACCATCACACAAATATGGAACCTATTATCAAATCCAGATTCCCTGGTGACAAGAATACTGAAGGTGAAGCATTATCCTAACACCGACATTTTGCAAGCCAAAATCGGGGACAATCCTAGCTACACATGACAAAGCATACAAGTAGTACATAAACTAGTGAATGAGGGGGTACGATGGAGGATTGACAATGGTTTAAGTGTAGAATTTATAAAGCTTATTCTTAAGGCTCATGTATTATAGATAATCATTGTGATTGTAAGTCTCAATGGTCATCCCTACTTTTCCGTTTCATCTGCAGTTGGATTTTACAAAGAAACCGCTTATATTGTACTTTGATAGAAACCATCACACAAATATGGAACCTATTATCAAATCCCGATTCCCTGGTGACAAGAATTCTGAAGGTGAAGCATTATCCTAACACAAACCTTTTGCAAGCCAAAATCGAGGACAATCCTAGCTACACATGACAAAGCATACAAGTAGTACATAAACTAGTGAATGAGGGGGTACGATGGAGGATTGACAATGGTTTAAGTGTAGAATTTATAAAGCTTATTCTTAAGGCTCATGTATTATAGATAATCATTTTGATTGTAAGTTTGTCTAGCGAATGTCTATATTTTTATACAAAAACATATGTTACTTGCTTCATGTATATTATTTCTAACTATTTTCGTTATTACTATACTGTTTTTAAATATACTAAACACGGCTAAATCTTCCGTAGTGTAGTGTAGCGGTGATATTGGTACTACTACCTAAACAGATTAGCTTGTCCTATAAACAAACAACATGTCTTAGAATAGGGACGAGTTGTTCTCAACAAATGAAGTTGATTGAACAGAACGATAGGGGTGATCGATCATGGAGCATCAGAGTCTGCCAATCAAACAGAACTCTGTACATTTTTTGTGCTTACCAACAACTAATTTCGAACAATCCTTCTAGTGGAGGATTATTATTGTGGAGCACTTTCCACCTCTTCAATAAAACCTGCAAAGGAGATCCTTTGGACCAATTATAGAACCAGGAAAGGGCAATGACCAATGACTTCCAGAATACAGACTTCTGGTATGGCTTATATTCACAGCAGTCAGATCATATTGTTCTGGCGGGAAACCACTCCGTTATACGCGGACAGCATCACGAGAACAAAGGAAGCTCTCTAGCAATGTCTCAGAACAAACAAACTCATCACTTGGCTTGTATCGATATCTCAGACCAACAAAATGGTCACTTGCGATGTGATGGGTTTCAGGGTTTCAATCCAACAATGATTTGGCTGGTTAACAATTACCGGGGACTCAGAGACAACTTAACCAGTTCATTTAGAAGCTGAAACAGGATTCTCATGGGAAGATCACATAAACAGAGGTATCAAACTTATTACTGTACCACTTACAAAGAAAGAATGCTTCATCTGCATCACCCTAATGCAGCAAGACAGACAGTGCGATTGAGGTCAACAAAATCACCATCAACTTTCCCAGTCTTCTTCCTGCAACTTATTCTCCCAATATACTGCCGATATGTTCAGTATGCACACCTGAAGTGTGGCACAGTGCTAGGGGAGGAGCATTTGATCATTGTTCTTATCAATCCTACGCCAAAACACACTAATAAGTTCCAAGGATAAGATATCGCAGTTGTGTCGCCTCACTACATCCAGCTGAGACACTCATGAAATTCTACTGCTCCACCCAACTAAACTAAGCTAGCTTCCCAATTAACAGTGCTAACTCGCTGACTACTATCCACCCACCCCAAAGTGGATTGAAACCATGAAAATGAAAGTGAATGATCAGGTAACAGCAGTTTCACTGAATAACAACTCCTTATTGACTAGAGCTCTGAGAATCACCATAAGACACACTAGAAACAAACGAGGACACTTGAATCTTGACAAACACATTTCTCAGCTAGGGTTCAAACAACACTTGCACACATCTTACAACCATCTCCTGAAACCGATCAGAGAGATATCATCGCCAATATGCCAATGAACCCAAACACCATAAGAGACAAAGCAAGCGTCCCCCAATTTAAAATTAGCAACACCTTACATATATATACAATACAAGATACATTATAAAGCGAGCAACCCAAGTTCACACCACTCACATACCAACGATCACACAAGATAATACCTTTCTTCCTTGACGGCGCCCTCAGGACTCAATACTCGTGACGGTAGTCCCGATAACCAGCGAAACTCTCCCTGTCCGGAGCTTTCTCCCTCTCGTAGTTGCTCCCGGATTCTTCAAGATTCAGCCCACCCATACTGCTGCTGAGCTCTGTAGCGCCTCCTTTCACACCCCCATATTGGGATGAATAGTCCACAGGAGCTGAAGGTCCGCTGGGTCCTCCATACACAGATGTCTTCGACAATGACACTGATGGCTGAGGCATCACCTTGTGATCATAAGGCTGCGGTGGCGGTGGCAGTGCCGATATGTCAACCGGAGCAGAAGGCCCGCTCTGCAGGTTGTAGCTGGAAGCCCGATTGTACAAAGGTCGAGATGGCAGAGGCGGCTGCGGAGGGTAATAGGCCGAGTAGTAGCCATACTGGTCTGGATAATTGTACGGAGCTGGAGAGAACTCCCTGTAATCCCGACTTGTCATAGGGGCTGGAGGCGGCGGAGGGGCGGCGGCGTAATAATGGGAATAGTTAGGGGCACTATGGTAATCTGGAATTTGGTGAGATACCTGCTGCGGCGGAGGGGGAGCAGGCATGGGCGGAGGTGGGGGCATGGGGCGTTCTCTCAAGGCGAGCTTCAGGCGAACCTTACCGTGGGGACGGCCGGAGGGACGGAGAACCTCGAAAGATCGGATTGCGGCCGGAGACTCGTCGGAGTCGAGAATCTGCGAGAGAGGGATCTTCACGGCGCCCACGAGAGGCTTGGGGGTTTCCGATGGCCTGGAGTGCAAGATCTCCAGGGTGAGGACCGAATCGGCGATCATTCGGGTCACCGGGAGCGTGAATCGCTCGTTCCATACGGGACGAGTGGAGCCGGAGTCGTCGGCGTGAGTGGCGAGCCTGTGATCGGAGTTGTCCAGGTAGATGGTCGCGTAGGGTTTCAGATCTCCGTTTCTCCAGTTGACGTTCTTCAGGTGCTTCGCTGAGACTATGGTGATCTCGAGGTCGAACGGATTGTGGCTGTGAGACGCCATGGTTTCCAGTCACCTTCAGCGTCGCCGGCGGTTGCTAATGTGCGCAGGTGGGGTGTAGATTGTAGAATTTTCTTCACGGAGGAGAAGGTTTGCTTTGGGAGAAGAAATCGCATTTCTGGACTCCACTCAGCTAAGCTAACTAGTCGGGTTAAATTTGGATAAGAATTCATTCATGTGGGCCCTGACCCTGAGGCCTGTTATGTAATTCAAAAGCCCAGTTGAAACGACCCCGTATCATCGAGGCAGCCATGCGACGCCGTTTCTTATCTTTCAAAAGGCTTTCCTCTGTGGATATACCGTGGATAAGCTGCCTCGCAGTCGCAGCCATAGCTAGAGACTGGTATAGAATTTGCTCTCCTCTGCCTCCAATCTCTTCCCCCGCCGTTGTCTCCGAGAGCTGAAAGCAAATGGCTGCCACCGCGACGAAGCCGCCGACGGTTGCTCTATCCTTCTTCTCCTCCTCGCTCTTTGCCTCCTCTTCCAGGCATGAGATCCCGAAGCTCATTTCGGTCTCTAATCGAAACTCGAATTCTACTGCCTCCAAATCAGCCGCCAAGCCTCTCTCCATCTCCTGCCAAGTCGCAACAATCCCGATTCTGTCATTCACCGGGGAGAAGATCGGAGAGACGTTCTTGGACCTGAAGTCCGCCCCGCCGGAGACGGCCCGCGCCGTCGTCCACCGCGGAATAATTACCGACCTCCGGAACAAGCGAAGAGGGACGGCCTCGACGCTGACCCGAGCCGAGGTCAGAGGCGGCGGGAGGAAGCCGTACCCGCAGAAGAAAACGGGCGGGGCGCGTCGGGGATCCCAGAGGACTCCGCTCCGCCCGGGAGGAGGGGTTGTGTTTGGGCCGAAGCCCAAGGACTGGTCAATCAAGATAAACAAGAAGGAGAAGAAACTGGCGATGTCGACGGCGCTGTCGAGCGCGACGGAGAGCATGATTTGCGTGGAGGAGTTCGGGGAGAAGTTTGAGAAGCCGAGGACCAAAGATTTCATCGAGGCGATGGCGCGGTGGGGGCTGGACCCGAAGGAGAAGGTGATGTTCCTAATGATGGATGTGAGCGACACTGTTGGGCTGTCGAGCAGGAACATCGGCACGCTGCGGATGCTGACGCCGAGGACCCTCAATCTGTTCGACATTTTGAACTCGGATAAGCTGGTGCTGACGCCCGACACCGTGGATTTCTTGAACGGGAGGTATGGAGCGGAGTACAGCGAGGAGGGAGATGATGAAGACGAGGAAGGCGGAGAGGTTGAGGAACAAGAAGAAGGCATTGAAGGTTAGTTTCTTCGATTCCGAAACGTACAAGGATTTGGCTACTTTTGTTTGTTTGGTGTAATGTAATGCAAGGTTGTCTCATGTTCTGCGATTTTGGGATGCAGGGGTTGAGGTTGTAGCTGCAGAAGGAAATGCTGATGCTACAAGTTAGGTTTTGGTAATGGTATGATATCACCATACATAACTGTTGTTGAATCCTCCATGTACCAGTTTTCTCCATTCTAAGCAACAATGTGCACTCAATCTGTTGTTTGTTTTCCCGAGAGAAATGCGGCTAATTATGTAGTCTATAAAATGGTTTGATTTTGATCTCGGCGCCCAGTTCTGTTCGCTGCTTCGATGATGGTAGTCAATCTGTTTCCCAGCTCTTCCGGAAATGTTATATTGGTTCTGCATTGCAAATAGCATCTTCTAGTTCTGGGCTCTCGACTCAACAACTAGCAGAGTGGTGACTGCAAGGGGGATGTATGTCTACTTGTAGGAAGAGTAGCTGGGTTCTGGAAGAACTTGTTAGGTAATGTCGGAGCGAACGAATTCATCCATCTCTGAGGAGCAACAAGTCCATTTTGTGAGAATCCTGACGTAATTCAGCCACAGCCCACAAGGGATTGAGGACAACATTTTGATTCAGTCATTTCTGTTATTTTTACCTGTATCATTTTCCATTTTTGTGAAAGATTTGCAAGCACATGTACGCGAAGGGAAGTGTGAGCAGGAAGACCTTAATCAGAAAATCAGTCTCTGGATCATATAACATCTATTGGTTTAAGTTCGAACTCATGAAGTAGCCAGCTTTAGAACGTTTCTTTGCCGAATTTACTCATGTACTGGAGGTGGTAGCAACGAACCAAATGCAGGGAAAGACCAGGAATCAGAATGACTGAATTATTCACCAGCTCTGTCATGATCCGAAGTCCATAGGGATTGGAACATGAAGCTGAAATTAGATTATGTACAAGCTACATACTTGTTTCCCATCAGGAATAAGTTTGATTCTCATGTGTACAAGTACAAGCTTGTTAGAAGGAGCAAGGTTGTCACCTATTTCTGTTTCAGGAAGAATTATCTTTCAAAGTACTTTAGCTGCATATTGGTCATGACTTGTGAACTATGACAACCTGCAGCAGTATGCATTACGATTGATTTCTCGCAACAGATCGATAATATCCCACCACCCAGAAAATGGTCGATTTAAGTAAACATGGATTGGCAAAATGGCAGAATTATAAAGACTGGCAATGGCATGCTGCTGTTACTTCACAGCCATCCAATCCAAGTGATAAACAGAGGCCACACCTGCAGGAAGCTGCTTTCCCTGTGCAAGAACATAAGAAAGCAAAAAAGAAAATGCACGCTCCCTACGCAGGCATTATCCTGTTCAGGTTCGAAGGGACTTTCTCAGCCTGACCTGCCCCCGCGGCCAGTGGCCAAAGGCAGATACAGGCACCCCTGGTGCGTTTCTTTCATCAACATTGTGACGATAGAAGGAAGGAAAAAAAAACATAGAATAGCCGAATGCAAAAGATAGATAGCATCCATGGAACACTTTTATTGATGTCACACAAGAGAAGCAGAAGCAAAAGATAAAGTCTCCAAATCCAAACTATCACACTTGACTCGGACGTCAACTTACCCACATCGCGAAATAGAAAGGCAGCCTGGGGTTATTCTTCCTGAATAGCTAGCTTCCCAGGATTCCTGAGCTTTGTTCAATAGCCAACCAGCTGCAGTCTCACAAGTTCCTGACAATGGAATTCCAGATGACAAACAGTTAAGTTTTGCATCAGACAAGGATCCAAGGGATGTCACAAAGTTACATATAGCTTGCTTGAGCAAGTTATGTTTGTCCATTTCTGTTAGAAGACTAACCTCTTTACCTATCAGTGGAGCTGACATGGCTCGCCGGTATGTAGATTTCTCCACCAACTTCACCGTGCTGTTCACCACTGTTGGTTTTCTTAGCAGCCAGGAATTCAGCGCTCATAGCAGCCATACCTTGCTGCACAGCTTCCTCTGCACTACCATAACCATGCTCCTCAGCATACTTGCGCACATCCTCTGTTATCTTCATGGAGCAGAATTTGGGGCCACACATGGAGCAAAAGTGTGCAACTTTGGCCCCGTCTGATGGTAAGGTTTCATCATGGAAGGACATGGCAGTCATGGGGTCCAAAGACAAAGCGAACTGGTCCATCCATCTGAACTCGAATCTGGCCTTGCTTAGTGCATCATCCCAGTCTTGAGCATGAGGATGGCCTTTAGCCAAATCAGCTGCATGTGCAGCTATTTTGTATGCAATAACCCCAGTCTTTACATCATCTCTATTCGGCAGGCCAAGGTGCTCCTTTGGCGTGACGTAACACAGAAGTGCAGTTCCAAGAGCTCCAATATTGGCAGCACCAATGGCAGAGGTGATGTGATCATATCCAGGAGCAATGTCGGTTGTTAGTGGACCAAGAGTGTAAAAGGGTGCTTCATTGCACCATTCCAGCTGCTTTTGCATGTTCTCCGGGATCTTGTGAATTGGTATATGTCCTGGTCCTTCATTCATCACCTGAAACAAAGAGCAACAAAAGCTTGTTAGCAGACAATCTCGAAACAAAGAAAGAACGTAACTTCCCTGAATGACCTGGTTATCTGTTTGCAATAGCTTATTCTATGCCAGGGCAAACGAAAAGGTTTAGCTTTCAAGCCACTGTTGGCCTCATATGCTAACTACACTAAAAAATACCATGGTCACTATTCTCCAAGTCCTCGGTCAATGTACAGAGAGCATCAAATATTATGACTTCGGCATATTACCTGAACATCCTTTTTCCAGGCTCTACGGGTCAGTTCACCCTGTGTTAAGAGCTCTGCAAATTGAGCAGTGTCATTGGCATCATATATGGACCCAGGTCTAAGTCCATCACCAATAGACAAAGATACATCATACTGATTGCAGATATCTAGTATGTCATCCCAGTGTTCATACGCGAAGTTTTCCTGGTGATGAGCTAGGCACCACTTTGCATGAATCGATCCTCCACGAGAAACTATTCCAGTCATGCGCTTTGCTGTTAGAGGCACGTACCGCAGGAGCACCCCAGCATGGATAGTGAAATAGTCCACACCCTGCTCAGCTTGTTCAATCAGAGTGTCACGGAAGACCTCCCAGGTAAGGTCTTCAGCGATCCCATTAACCTTTTCAAGAGCCTGATAGATGGGAACAGTACCAACTGGAACAGCTGAGTTGCGCAGAACCCATTCCCGGGTCTCATGAATATGGCGGCCAGTGGAAAGATCCATGACAGTGTCAGCACCCCACATAGTAGCCCACTGAACCTTGTAAACTTCTTCCTCAATAGAGCTCGCAACAGCTGAGTTTCCAATGTTGGCATTAACTTTGACCAAGAAATTCCTTCCAACAATCATGGGCTCAAGCTCAAGGTGCCTTTTATTGGAAGGGATGATTGCTCTTCCTCGAGCGACCTCAGACCTCACAAACTCTGGGTCGAGCTTTTCGCGAGTAGCACAGTACAACATTTCCTCAGTGATAATGCCCTGCTTGGCATAGTACATCTGCGTGTACCTAGGACCACCAAGCTTCTCCCTCCTGTCAATCCATTCTTGCCTGAGCTTAGGAAGTCCTGTTTCAATCAAGTCGTAAATAATAAACAAGTGCATAAGATTTCCAAGCCCTTCCATGTAGAAGATGGGTCTTAAAACCAGACTTGAGCTTCATACCTAGACGTGGGTCGATATTCTGTGGACCACTGGTGTCATAGTTATCAAAACTGGGTTCATCCCCGGACAAGTGGACTCGGCGGAAAGGAACTTTGAGGACATGGCCAGATTGTTCGTGTGTAACTTCCCTGTAAGGAAAAAAAAGTCAAGAAACGTACAAAAACATTTGTGACCCATTACACCTCCCCACAGAAAAACACAGCAATAATTGAATATTTGATTGAAAAGAAATCAGGAAGGGAAGCTAAAAGCTTCAGATTATAATTGCAAATCAGTAACCTGTGTTCTTTAGTGCTCTTGGGAAAACACTGTTCAAAGGATGGAAGGGGAACGAAATCTGGAGAGGCAGGGTCGATGGTATGCTTCCTCTGTCTTACTTTCTCGGCATCTGCCGTCGGTGGATCAAACGTTAAGGTCGCTCTAGCACCATAGGACAGTGAACGTGAGGGAGAATTCTCCTTCCTACTCAGACCGGAGACGCCTCGGCCAAAAACATCGAACCCCGGCAGGAAGGCAGCTGTGGAGAACTTGGCCGGAGCAGAATTGTAATTGTTGCCATTCTTGCATACAGCAGCTGATGTGAGAGCAGCAATAGCTTGCACTGACGCCATCTGGAAAGGACATATACAACATAATTCAAAATCGTTTTCCGAGCAGTTAAGCGATCAAATATAATAATTCTCTGATTGCGATTCTCGCGTTCTGTATGGCAAGCGAGAAAGCGTAACAGTTAAACGAGCAGCAGACAGTAGCAGTACGAAAGATGGATAGAGGTGAACCGTCTCATCATCAACCGTCCACTTCCCGGAGATAATTTCTCGAGAACGGATCAAGTGTATCACAATTCGCGAGCAAAATTCAAATGAGATAAAGAAGATTGGGCATGAAATTGTCTACAGATCATCGCCGCACAAATTTGCAAAGGAGATCGGACGTTAAGCTTACCAGAGAGAGGTGGGCAGCGGCGGAGTGAGGAAGAACGGAGGAGGAGAGGAGAAAGGAATGCAGAAAGAGAGGGAGCGGCTGAGGTCGGAAGGGAGACCGGGATGAAGTGATGAACTTATCTCTTCGAACTGAGTGAGCCAGCGAGCGTAATAATGCTCGCACTAACGCACAGTAGTCACAAATCACAATCTACGTCGTCACTTTTCCCTTCACTTGTCGTTTCTGTAGGAGAAATAAATAAAAATAAACGAAAACAATAATAGAGAAGGGAAAGTGCTGATGATGACATGGCTGTTGCCTTTGGTGTGTGTTGTGACTAATATCTGTGTGGTATATTATCCAAAATTGAATCTCTCCTAACCACTCGAGTTATTGGAGCAATTGGTTTATGACATGGTATCAGAGTCTTCTATGACCGAGAGGTCTTGTGTTCGATTCCGGGTGACCTCATTTGTTAAGCACATGGTATTCAAACCTGTGCAAACTTCAAGCCCTTGTGAGTGACTTTCGTTTGAGAGGGCGTGTTAGTTTGTGGTATATGATCCAAGATTGAACCTCTCCCAACAACTCGAGTTATTGGGAGCAACTGGTTTATGACAGATATTTGGTAAACACTAATTATTAGTCAATTGTTTATTGTATTTTTTAATTAGTCAAACTTAATGAACTACAAATAATTAGTTAAATTGTTTTAAAATATATCAAAATATTAGTCATTTTACATTATTGTTAATAATTTTGTAACTCATTTCTTAGTTAAAATATTAAAATTTTGGAATGTTGACCTCCATGTGTCTCTTCCAAGTCAGTATCATATTTCCAAGTCAATATTACTGATAAAATTGTCAAGTGAAAGTTAACATTTGGCTAATTATTAGAAATTCAATAGGCTTGGCTAATAAAAAAGAATGCGAGAAAGATTTGGCTAATAATTAGTGTTTACCCAAAATATTTCCATTAATAATGTGTATCTTGTCAGTGTAGCTAGAATGGGCGAACCAACCGGCTCCAGCCCCTTCTGTTATGTCCGTGAGACTCAACTCTATAATTAATTAGTGGTGGGCACGAGGAAGGGGATCGTGGATTGTGTACTTGCCTATTTGGACGGGGCACAGTGTCCTATTGCCGGGGGTTGTATCCGAGGTGTGGAGGTTACTAAAGTGCGGATAAGTGTAATGGTCATGTCTCCCAATTCCGCTTCTAGTTGTGTCTACGGGCTCAATGTCACCAGAAGCAGCTTCCTCGACTAGCGATATACCTAACTTCCTTTAAATGGGTTCTACCCATCCGCACACTAGCCGGATGAGTCAATAATCATGCACTCACCTAACTAACATCAACTAGGTGAGCTCCTAATTAGAGGGAGATGATCACCTCTTCCTCTAATTATGCCTCTAGATCATCTAATCAAGGTAAAATACATTCAACATACATCAACAACAACTAACCTTGGGCTAATTCATTCAACATACCATATCATGGATCAAACCACACTAGAAGTATTAAGAACACTAGTTGAACACAAAATATGTTATAGATATCATTCAATCAACAAAACCTAGCTATATACTAGAATTCATCTTCCTTAAACAATATTAGGTGTTCAATTCATAGAGAGGGAAAGGACATACAAACTAGAGAGGACAATCTTGAAATCACCTTTTTTTCTTTGTTTTGAACCCTTCTCCTTGATTCTTGGATGAAGTCCTCATTCCTTAGCTCTTCCAAGGCGTTTCTCTCACTAGAATCTGCCCAAAATCCTAATTTCTCATTCTAGGTTGGCTCTCATTTGTCAATTCCAACAAATGGGTTTTTATAGAGGTTTCTCGTGCACAACGTGGCCTCCGGGCGTGACACGAGGGGTGGTCACAACCTCCAGGTCGTGACACTTGTCAAAACGACACATTTCAGCATGTCACGGCTTATGTCACAGTCGTGACCTAAGGCGTGACATGTAAAACATCAACGAATTGTCAAAATCTCTGTGTCTTGTATTCGTTCACGAGCACCGAGATTGTGACCTTGATCTTGAGAAAAATGAAAAAGTTATCTAGACACTTTGTAATTGAAAAGTTATCGAGTAAGAAAAATGAAAACGAACACAATTAGACATGTGACATTGCTAAATGACTTTTTAACTTAGCAGTTTTGATAATTTAGCAAGCATCCACACATCCTTAGCAGTTGCTAAAAACTTGCCACAAAAGTTCCACCTCACTTTAGCAATCGCTAAAAATTAGGAATGGAGATGCTCTTTACGAGAGATTGAGATTTTGTCAGCACAACTTTTTTAAATTTGAGATCTCTAACATAACTATAATAATTGTAGAACTAAGAACTAAGAAGTCAAGTTTCATTCAAATTAATCACTAAATTCATTACACTATAGGGAATTTGTTGTTATAAAGCTATAAAAATATGTAAATTACATATTATTCATTTTAATTTTAAGTTAACTAATAAAAATTAAATTAAATTAATTTAAAAAATCTGCAAGCCACTCCATATCTCCTTAATAAAACGCAACGTTCCCCTTATCCCTTTTGATTTCACTTTTTTTTATGGACAAAAATAAAAAATCCCTACCTACTTATACTAATTTTTTTTGTTCATTCCCTTACTCATTTTGATTCACATTTTTCTTCTTTCCCATTTTTCCCCAATCTTACTTACCAATTATAACTGATGGGTGAATTTAGTAGATTTGCGGTAGATTATGTTTCGATTTTGGCTAATTTTGGGAGAAGTACAACAAAGTTGCTTATGGTATGATTTTGGACATAATTGGTTTGTTCTTTGGTTTACGTTCTTTGATCCATATTATGGATCGATATTGGTCTAGTGGTTCTGGACTGAACCTAACTTGTACTACAATGAAAGAAATTATATTGCTATGCTAAAAAACTGCCGTAATTAGCACGATGACAACATGCATATGTAAGTTGAGAGGCGTATCAGCAACATGCCATACAGTTCACTTGCATTCGGCAGGATTGTTATGTATTGCCCAACAAAACCTTCACCGGAAGTATATTGTTAGCCGGAAAGTTGGCTGATTCGAGTCTTCCTTTCCACTTGGTAAAATCCTAGAGAAAAGTGGTCGCCGTGGATAAGAACGGGAAGCATCCAAAGCCGCAGCCGCCCACCCAACCCAACACTCAAAACAGTGGGTGAGGGACCGGACTTGAGCACTCATTCCCAGAGGCAGAGGCAGAGCAGAGCCCCACAGCAGCATTCAGTGCAGTGGTTTTGAAGAAAGCGACGTTGATATTATTATGATTTGATTTCTCTCCACTCCCTCTCTTTTTTTGGCTGGATCGATGTTTCTACTTTAGCTGCCCTCATTTTCCGCCAAAAATATCGCTTGCATTTGCATACTGTTGCTAAAGCACCAATCCTCTGCTCAAATAACCCCAATAAGCAGCAAAGCAATTCCTCTTCTCCGCAGGCCGTTTGGATTGTTTGCTGTGCATCCGCAGGCCGTTGGATGAACATAGCATAGCGACAATTAATTTACCCAGTACATCCAACTATAACAGAGCGCAAAACAGGCATGTACATACATATCGCGAACGGAATAGAGTCGCGGACTGGCTCTCGAAGCACAGTCTCGTCTATCCCTTCGATATGTACGAATTAATCGAGCCTCCAACGGGTTTAGATCGGATCCTTTGGGAAGATATGATAGGTAGTAGCCTCCCGAGGATGGTAGCCTCTAGATAGCTAGTTTCTTTTTTCTGATGCCTGTTGCCAGTTCTACCTAGGGCCTGCGTGTGTGCAGTGCTACCTGTGGCTGAATTTGTTTTGCTGTATCTGAGTTCCCCTGGCTTGTAGCCTCCCTCTAATAAAAAAAAAAAAAAAACAGGCAACTCAATGACCTAACAAATAGCACCGCCACAAAATTTCAACGCCAACCCCTAGCATTTGCATCGGCCTGAGTAACATTAGATTATATCAAGTGCAGAGAAGCATCCCTTTTTGTTTAGACCTGTAATGTAAACCGACCAAGAAAATAATTCGTCTTATTTACAAACAAAATATCGCTTAGTGTACATGCTATAAGATTTTTTCTCAGACGAGTAATAATCATGTATACAGATGAATACACGAGTTTGCAATGCCTCAACAGATCAATGAGGACTCGAAAGGCTGCAACGTAATGTACTCTGACTAAACGAAACACCCCGGCCAACCCACTGACTTGCTAGGCTAAATGAACATGGTGTTCATAACATTATGGCCGCAACACTCACCAGTGAATGTGCGTGTAGCTGGATTCTTCTTCCTTTCTGGCTTGGGCCAAGTATATGTTAAAACGACTGAGAGAGAGCCATAACTCCAGTGCAGTTTGAACGAATGTATACAAATTTTAGGGTGGCTTCAGGCTGATCTCTGTAGTTGCCCCATCGTCGTGTTGGCATCAATTTTACAAGCTAGGGTCAATGATTTCTAACCCCATTCCATCGCTGTGTTGCCAATCTTAAGTCTGTCATGAACCTGCCGCCTGTGCAGGGAGAGGTAGAGGGAGCGGGAGGAAAGATGCTTGCTGATGGCCTCGGACAAAAGAAGCTAGCTCCTCTGGAGCAACTACCAATTTCAGCCACTCTTGCAGCTCTTCTCCTTCTACTTTCTCTTTCTCTGGATATGGTGCGCACCCAGTTAGAGCTCCTTGACTAGTTATAGATCTATTGGGTCAACAAAAGAAAAGGAGTAAGCCAATTACCTTCAAGATGAGCACCAAGTCCTTCCAAGACAGTAGGATTAGCACGAACGACACAGAGTGCCACTTCCATTGCAGATTGTAGCATTTCCTTCACCTCCCTTTGAACTAGATCAACAAGATGGCCCTGTTTTGTAGTGTACCCCATTAACAGCAGTATACAAGGTTGGTAGGGGCAGATAGAGTTTGACATTGCGTAAATAAGAGCATGCCAAAACAATGATTACCTGTTCCCTTCCCCATGGACTACCTCCAGACTCATCCATCCCACCTCCAGAAAGTGTTCCAACAGATACAGGACCTATGGTCCGACTGAGACCATATTCCGCTATTGCCTTGTACGCCATGTCTGTAGCTCGTCTAATATCATCTAGTGCACCGGTGGACACACGGCCTGAGTACACCACGTCTTCTGCTGCACGCCCTCCAAGAAGGGTGACCAAACGGCCCCGTAACTCATCGATGAAAAGTAAATATCTGTCCTCAGTTGTTGGTGGTGTATAAGTAAACCCCAATGCACCTCCCGTCCTTGGTAGTATGCTTAGCTTCTGCCAATATGACATCATTAAACTGTTATATATCCTGGCAGGTACACACACTCATCCCACATGACAAACGGAACCCTTCAGCAAGTTCCTTTTGGCTTAAGAAATGATGATGATCTTTACCTCCACACGTGGTTGTCCAGGGAGGAGGCTAGCAACAGCAGTGCCAACTACTGCATGACCTGCTTCATGGCGTGCAACGACAGCCCTCTCACTTCCTTGCAGTTTGGCCGTCTTCTTCTCTATGCCCTACAACAACGGGGAGTTAATTTCAATTAACTTTTTCTTCTTACAGGTCATTACCATTCTGCACAATGTCTTCTGCCAAACATGGTACAAGTACAATAAGTAGGCATATAAAATCAGACGCATGAAAATCTTCATGAATTCTAGGAGCAACAAATACTCAGAATTCCTCCTACTGGACCTCAATGTACAGATTCAAAGGTTATTCATTTCATGTAAAGACCTTTCACAATCAGCAAGTACAACCAATTAAAAAATGGAAATTTAGCTTCCATTAAATCAACCATAAGCTCCATTGATGCCAATTGTCCCTCGAACTCAAAGCATACCCGATGATATTAGACGAGCTAGTGTGTGTGTGTGTGTGTGTGTGAGTGAGAGAGAGAGAGAGAGAGAGAGAGAGAGAGAGAGAGAGAGCTTACAGCTAAAGACCGTTCTACGGCTTGAATGAAATCAATTTTCTCTACCAAGGTTTTGCTTTTCCTTCCAGCCAATAGAGCAGCTTCATTTACAAGATTTGCAAGATCAGCCCTGCATGACGTGGAAACTAGAAGGTTACCTCCACATCCAGCCTATGACAAGACAGCAAATGTACCCAGCATTCACACATACCCAGTAAAGCCAGTGGTCATTGAAGCGATACCACTAAGGTCGACATCCTTTCCTAAAGGAAGCTCCTTCTTTAAGGCATGCACTTTCAAAATGGCCTCTCTTCCTTTCCTGTCAGGGGCTTCCACCTGAGATCAAATTGCAAAAATTACTCAAGACACTCAACTGAGTTGAAACAGCTAATGCACAGGGCCAGAGGTCTCAAAATTTTAAGAGGATTAATCTGGAACGAACCGTAACTACACGATCAAATCTTCCGGGTCTCCGAAGAGCAGGATCTAAAACATCAGCGCGATTTGTTGCTCCGAGAACTATTACTGCAGAGTTGCTATCAAATCCATCCATCTCCTGCAACATATGAAAGTGGCTTACAAAATGAAGAACGTGACATTCTAAGACTTCCCATAGATCTTTAAGAAGGAATATGACTGGATGGATGGGGGGACTTACAGTAAGCAACTGGTTCAAAGTTTGCTCCCGCTCATCATTGCTAACAATGCGAAACTTCCCATCACGACTTTTCGCCACCGCATCTATCTGCATTTAAGAGAGTATGAGACTGATGTTCAAAGCCGTCAGCACAGCATCCATATCCAACAAAGACAATCAAGTGCAGCTTACCTCATCAATAAATATAATTGATGGTGCCTCCTTCTTTGCTCGTGCAAACAGGTCTCTTACACGTGAAGCACCCATTCCGACATATAACTCTACAAACTCACTAGCTGAGCAACTAATGAAAGGGACATCAGCTTCCCCGGCAACAGCCTTTGCCAAAAGGGTCTTGCCTGTACCAGGAAGACCAACCTGGAAGACAAACAACCTCATATAAACTAGAAGTAACTTAAGATTTTTAGTAAAGAAGAGGACTAAGTCACAGAGAACAAAGTGCAGGATGGAGCCTATGGTACTGGATACACATACATATGTAACATTAGAGAAAAATGAGGATGCAGCACCGATGTACAGGACAACACACTAAAAGACCTACCCAAATGGAAGCTTATACAGAAGTTGTTCCACCAAAATACATTAAAAATAAATTTGCATACTCACCAGAAGAACACCCCGAGGAGGACGAGCACCAAGTTTTATGTACCTGTCTGGGTTCCTGAGAAATTCCTGGACAACAAGCATCAGTACATAAGACCATTTCCCGGCAAAAAGAATTTAGAGGGTGGTCAAAGGGAAGAGGATGCAAATAGAAATCATAAGCAAAGCAGTAAATATGATACCACTATTTCTTCTAACTCTTCCTTAGCTTCATCAACGCCAGCAACATCAGCAAAAGTGATTGCATCTCCTTGCTCAGCAACTTTTGTACCTCCAGAACTACCAGACTTGCGGTTCCTAATCTGACCAGCCGAATGCTGCATAACAGAAATGTATCTATTTTGTCAGAACCAAGTTACATCCATCAAGTTTGACCTAGTCAAAAGAGTATTGTGATAGTCCAAACCTGAGAAAAGCTAACAGGGAATCTATGGAGAAGTCCAGCAAGCACAGCCACATAGAACAAAGCAATCTGCCATAGAAAGGGGAAAACAAACTTGTAAGACTCCACATTTGGAAAGCAGTCCCAAGCGAATTGATGCAAATAACAGCGAAATTGACACACTGAGTGTAGAAAGAAGCATGTGTTCACGCAATAAAAATCTTCATTTCCCTAGTTTAATTTCCATGCTTCCTGGTTAGGGAAAATATGACTTGCAGAAGCCTCAAAGAGGGAGATTGGCAGTTCACGGTAGGCTGCCAAAATGCAAAGGAGCAATCCCTCAACACCCTCTACGTAAGATAAGGGCAAAGCATTCAGAAACTATAGAACATGACTGGCATCCTGACCACATGGGTGTATGAGGGCTGTGATCTTTGAGAGCGTAGAATTGCTGTTTATACAAAAAACGCAAATTTGTAATTACCATCGCATTCTTTTTCCGTCGGCAAAACTGAAACGAACCTATGTTTCAGCATGAAGAACAGCCGCACATGCAATTACTTGCATTGCAAAGCATGACCACGTGAACAAATTTCAGCAAGCAATCCCGTTAAAGGATTATATTTGATAGTCACTTATTAAGCAGTACTACCCCGTGGTTTTTCTAAATAATAAAAGCTTGTCACAACTCACAGCCACAACCAAGCACTTACTCACCAAAGCTGAGTTGAAAAATCCACCAGACCTCTTATCAGGCGATCCAAACTCCACCTGGTTTTCAAGCATCTTCTCGTATGGAGTCTTGATATCACTGGGTCTAGTAGTCGTGTACACAATCCTCCTTGTGGTTGGCGCGACGCTCCTTAACAATTGCTCCGACTCCTGCCACCTACCATCAACCACTTCAGCTGTCTCCTGATTTCCGGCCGCCTCGTTTTTCAGTTTGAACATGATGTGGACGCCATCAACCTCCACTTTCTGCACCTTGTTGCTATTAATCTTGCTCACAAAATCACTGTACGGTACACTAACGAACGTCGTCGGCGGTCTTGGCTCCGACCCTGGCAGCGGAATCCCAGGCCGCAGCAACCGCATAACAAACATTACAATCCCTAATTGCAAAAGCAAGACCCCGACCTCCTGAGCTTGAATTAAAGGCTGCCATTTCCAATTCTGCCGCTTCGACCACAACCACCACTCACCTTTCCCTTGCTTCTCCCTCTTCTGCTTTGGACCCGTGTTGGGCGTGTTCGTGCTGCTAACCTGCTGCCCTTCGGTCTCCGCCCTTGGCTCGCTCGAGCTCGTCGTCGAATCCCCGTCCTGACATTTCGCCAATATTCTGTGCTCTCTCAACCTGCAACTCCTCCAAACCCCACTTCCCCATAGATTATTAGAACCTCGCAGAGCTCCGCAGGGCAGACGAGATTCATTGCGCACGTTCACGGGACGAGGGAACCGCAGCGGATCCCGGTGAGGAACCCTAGAATGGGCGCGGAACGGGAAAGAGCCGCGGCAGTGAGAAGGAGGAGGATAACGATATTTACAATCGGAGTCGGCGTGGAACCACCTGGAGTGCGAAACCGGCCTCAGGGTCTCAATCATCGACGACATGGTGTTAATCGAAACCCTAACATAACCAGAGAGAAACCAAATTGGGGAAGGAGAGGAGCAGACTCGCAAATCGGAAGCGGAAGCGGATTAGCGCTTGGGCGGGGCTAATAAAAGAACGGTAAACGACGGTCGGTCTGTTTTCTGTGGATGGGAGAAAATTTTAGAAGGGAAGGTGACCGGAAGCGGAGGAAGAGAGGAGAGAGATTTTTTTTTTTTTTTTTTTTGAAGAGGGAGAGAGAGATAATCTCCGTTGGATGGAGGAGAAGGGACGGTCGACGTAAGATCCAATGAACCTCAACTCTCTGTTTCGCGATGCAGGGGAAAATTCCTCGTCCTCGATGTCGTTGTTGTTCGTTATCTGCTGCAACTGCGAATGGGCGCGAGGTAAGAAGAGGAAATCATAGCGTGCGGGAGAGCACACACCAAGAGAACACGTGGGAACAAGAGATGGAGGACCACACAGGTGGAGGGATTTTCCGGACTGAATTGGGCCGGGTTTTTGGGGTGGGAGAGGTTTGTAGGAAGTCTAGGGCCCGATCTAGTAGGGTGCTAATTATGCCTAAATGGATAAGGATTTGATTAGCCAATCAGGAGTGCCTTTACTAGTTAATAAGGGAATCGAGTTGGAATTTACATCACTTTAACGACAGCAATCTTGTAAGGGGATTTGAGTCAAAGTATCTTCTATTTCCAAATGATATTCGGTTAGTTTTTGTTTTTTTCCTTTCTTTTCTTTTCCTTTGCTTAATTTAGTTTTATTAGCCCGCAATAAAACCGTGATAGATTGATTAAATAGTACTTCGAAGTATATTAGTAACGGTAAGATAGTATAACGGTAAGCTGCCACGACAGTGAAGTTTTGGCAGTTGCAGATCTTAGGTTCAAATTCAAGTGAGGATCGTTTTTTTTCTGGAGCTATAAAGCTGCTGTGGGCGAAGCCCCCGTTGGCGTCGAATTGAACGCAGGAAGTCTATTACTAGTAGGGGCGAACCCATCTGTCGGAGACACATGTTTTGATGATAAAAAGAAATTCGAATATGAGACCTTTGACTTTTCGACACAGTTCTGAGTGAAAAATCGATGATGTCGTGCTCAGAAGGAGTTCAAATTGGACTAGGAGACTCCTGGAAACATCTAAAAGCTTCCCGTTGACTTTCAGGCGAATCCAAGTATGGGAAGAACGGGTATGGCTGAAAAACTCATTATTTGTAAAAAGTTTTCTCCCTCCGGCTGCTAGTATAAATAGAGGCTTAGACTATAGTTTGAGACACTCTCATATAAAAATTAGTCAAAGTTCTGCCAGAGCAAGACGAGGATGCCTTCATCATCACCAGGGATGTCTTCTCCATCTTCTATAGCTTGATAAGTCTGTATTGTTTAGGGGATGTGAATTTAGGATGCTCCATGCATCACTTTCTATGATTTAATGAGATGTTTTAGTCATAGATGCCTTAATCATTCTATGCTTATATCATCTATTATGTGCTACTATGGACTATGGTCAGTGACGTAGACAAAATTTCACTTAATATGGGTCCAATTTAAAAATATAATCATTCTATGCTTATATAAAATAAATATTTTTAATATTTAAATGACTTATGTTGGGTTTTCATTATTTTTCGACGGATTTTCGTTTGAGGGTGGATAGTTGGATACTATATTAGGAATTAATAAATCCAGAATAATCAACTAGAGATGCATTTTTAAGTAAAATCTAGAGTTATTTATATAATATTGAAGGTTAATATGTGTCATAAATCTCTCTACAACTTATTGGCAGACAAACAAAACCGTGAACATGAAGTATTAAGGTTGTGAATTATGAATTGTGTATAAGTATTATTTCAATACTAATTTAGAGCCACCTATTACTAGGTGGTCGCTGAGTAAATTGTACACTGAAGAGCACGCTGCGTGGAGCATGCCACAATCTGACTGCGTCCTTTTCTCTTATTCATAGATTCTAATGGGGAAACAACTACTCCTCGCCCTCTTGTTGACTCCAAAATCAACACAAATTTTGAGGTTCATCGCATTCATCCTAGTTGCTCCACCCCCCGTTCACCGGTGATCGAGATTCTGGTGAGAAAACGGTAGGGCATTGGTGAGTCTGTCGTCTTCTTCTGGTTGCTTGGGGCGGTGGCAGCAAACAACAAGTTTGTGAGTTACGTTCATTAGTGGAACATCATTTGGGTATTAGCTCTGATAATACATTAATTAAGAGTAAATATTATAATTAGGCATTGCCCCATGTTTATTTAGGCCATTCATTAGCTATTCATGGTAATTCTATTTTACTGTATGGAGCTTTATAGTGCTCCATTATATTCTCAACAATTATTCTTCATTCATTATTTTCCTTATTGATGTCCATAGTGATGATATCTATTTTTGATTGGGTGATTGTTTATATGAAAATTTCGAAATACTCCAATGAAATGTTTCAGTCAATGATTTCGGAAATGAGTCATTTATCTTCTATTTCCCTCTTCCAAAGACTGCTCAGTTTCTGAAGTAGATTACCACTTTCTTGGGAGGAGGATATGGCTGCTTGAGGATGTGACTGGGAAGTTCTACATATAAGCAAGGGGTCTAGAGAAAGAGGCATCATACTAGTTGATTCTCGGCCTTCTCTTGAAGCCAAAATTGATAATCTCATCAAGAAAATGGATAAGATAGATGGTCTGTCTGGCAGTCAATTAAAGTCTCAGGTTATGCAGTGTGACTGGTGTATGAGCTGCAACAGGCAACTAAAGGAGTTCCATACAATGATGGAGGCTACTACATCGCAAGAGCATGCTATTTTTAAGATCGACTATGCTTGCTTATTTATGGAAAGTGGCGACAGAACCAAAAAATAAATATAGCGGTGTCCTCTTATATGATGTAAATAAATAAATAATTAAAATTCCTCTATAATATATGGCAGAGTCTTGTGAGATTTTCAACATTTTATAATTTCTGCACTCTCCTTGTCGTTTTGTGTTTCCCTTATCAGTAACCGCCAATTATTATGGTCAAGAGCTTCGGGCAGTTTTACAAGAGGGAAGTCGTGGAGCGCCGGTGGAGGGAGAGCCGTGGAGCATCGGTGGATTCTATTCCGGCGCCATAGGAATCAACGCAGATGAAATATACTAAAATCAGCAACTTGATTTGCCTAACTAAGTCGGGCAGAAAGATGAAAGCTCCTGTGCGACGACTCCCATGAGGACCGGCCGGGGTAGGAGAATTGGAGTACAAATCGGAGGTGATCTCCCTGAATAGCTGGGTGACGCGGTAGGATATTTCACTGGCCATCCATAGGAAATTCTCTATGTGAGAGTCTTCTCTCTCTCTCTCCGATCTAATCTTTCTTCCTTCAACTCTCGTCTTCAAAGGGGAGAAGTGCTCCACTGTGATGGTTAGATGGTCTGAGAGAAGGCCGACTACGTACCCCTTCTTCTTCTTCACCCTCTCCCAATACACAAAATCACCTTCTCCAATCAGTGACGATCATGTTCTTCACCCGCTCAACATCGTCAAACTGCTTTTCAGTCACTAATTATCTCGGTATCCAATACGCAGCCTGGGCTATATATTGAGGTACACTTCGTCTGAGTTCTGAAATCATCATAGCTCCCGTGATATATATGGATTCAGGTGCAATTTTATTTTCCCATGCTTTGTGGCGACATGAGTGGCAGTTGATTCACAATCTTCAAGGCATTTCCAGTTCTAGCGAGTGATCTGTATGGAAATTGTCCGTTGATAGGTCAGTTCAATTTGCAATGGTTGTACGTCTCCACAATAATGATTGATTTATAATCTAAGGTTTCACTTCCAGTTCGAGATTGCTATGAAATTCATTCACATCTCAGGTTAGGGTTCTCTATGGGAGCGTTTGTTTTGGCTCAATAGGAAACTGAGATCAAAGCCTCCAGTCATCGATCACATAATTAATTGTGAGAGGGAATCGCCAAGTCTGCTGCATCTTTACTTATCAGTCGATAGGTGTACTCTCCGACCCTCATCTTCAACTCCCTACGTAGGTTATTTTGTTTTGATTTCTACTGCCAAGTTTATTCTTGCGGGTGCCATATATATATATACTAGGTAGACCCGCTCGCGTTGCTTCGCGTAATAATGATACAAAAAATACGTATTGTGTAAATTAGAGAGTGAAATGGATGGAAAATGCTAAAAGGAACATTTAAGGCTCTTATCCAAGCAAATAACTTCTAAAAACTAACCTAATCCAGACATTTCTCTTTCAAATGTCTTGTACACCTATTAACCAAAATACTTTCAACCCAAAATCACACGTGCTGTAAATTCACAGCCTTCAAGAAAACCCATGTCGGACCCTTTCGCCACTATTTTATTTTATCTTTGCCCTTGTGAAATGCATCTCTGGATGGTCAATAACCAAAACCAACCACCAGGTTAACAACGTGGCAAAGAAGAAGGACACCGGAAGGTTAGAGATTAGAGGTTTATATATGGCAACTCTGCTTGGCATAAGCCTCATTAGAATATCCTGCTTCTGAATCTCATCGTTGGTTGGGAGGCCCATTTGTTTCTGTATCTGATCAAACTGCAGGTTAAGCACGAAAGACCAGTTAGAGGTGATAAAAATATGGAAAGTACTGTCAGCTGCACAAATAACACCACAACGATCGCAAAAGAGAGATATCGGGTTAAGTAGTGCACGAATAAGTTATACCATCGTCTACTCGACAACCTGGTGTTTTTCAAGGTATGGGCCAGCAAGCTAGTTGTTTCCAGGTTCTACCTCCTGTGTATCGATTTCAGGACCTCCTTTCAACAAAGTTTTCCACCATTCCATTTGGTCATGCTTGGACAGCAGAACTGAAATGGTGTTCTCATCCTATGTAGACACATAAAACTTGAATTAATCAACATGCTTAGGAGAAATGGTCTAAATGAAGACACAGACTGACCAAGTTACAAAACAACACAAATATGTTATCTTTTGCACATTTTACCTCTCTACATGCAGGAAAATGCACTTAATGGGTGGAGAAATAAGGCAAGAGCTAGACACATGCCTGGCTGCAAGCATTTCAACAAAGAGAACACGGGTATAAGCCACTTCATACTATTAACAGTGCAAGCTATGACACCTTCAAACCTTCAGTATGCATACAATGAAAGCATCGCAAGCTAGTGATTCAACGGCTAGAAACTGAGGACATTGGGGGAAAATTTCAACATACTTATGCTCCAGTTACGGTCACCAACCTTGACAGGCTTGCTCCCCCTGCAATATTCAAAATTTCCAGCAGTTGCAGAATGCAAACAACAGAACCTAATCAATAAGAGACTGGAACCATAAGGTAAGCACATATACTCCAGAAATTGAACTCGCAATGCATTTTGGAAAAAATATAGCAGTAAAAGCAACTGTTCTTTCAATTTCCTTGCGGGCTGCTTTGCTTTGGCAAGAGGTACTTTTTGGTCGACACTCCTCCGTTCTACTGCCACCTAGAGTGAATCCATGCATTCCCTGATATTACAATCCCAAAACCAAAATGAATGTGAATTTGAGAAAAAAGTGAGAAAAAACTATCTAACCAAAGAAAACGCTAATACAATTTTCTAATGACTTAAATGATATTGTACGGTTATCTCCTTATGACCTCGAACGAAGCAAGTTATATAAACAGATGCATGACAACTGGCCACAATTGGAAGAACAAAGAACTACGAACTATTACATCATGTTACAGGTCAATTAAACATAAACAAACTCCAATCAACTGGAATTTCTTCCCCACAACAGAGGAATCCATTAATGAGATTCACAATAAGATACAAATTTTGGCAAAGCACATAAAGAGAGGTTGCCAAAGAAGAGCTAATAATCCAGGTTGAGCAAAGCATAGTTAATTCTTGTTTTAGGATGCTAGAGTCTGCAGAAAACGAAGAAAGTAAAACTTACAGGTGAGAAATTTTATAGTCTGAACTCGTCTCACGTTCGAGGATAAGCTACACCGCCTCTACTTGTCCTTCACCTCTTCGAACTGACCTTTCCTCGCTACAATCTACATTATGCAGAGTGCTGGTGGCAGCACAACATTCTCATGAAAATCCTATAACCTTCAGTATTATTCACTACACTCCCATTACTTAAAAAAGGAAATTCAGTACACTACTTATGCTAAAAATGGCAATCTCACAATATAAAGTTGCAGTCATCATTGAAGGTCTTTCAACGCCAATGCTTGATGCTTCCTCACAGTGATATTTATGTGAACCCAGACCCATCCTCCTTATGGACAATCAGCAGACAACAAAAATTATAAGGAATCACAAAGAGGAAAGAAACCAGTATAGATAATTAACCATTTGGATTCATACTTAGAAAACTAACCATCTGGATCCATCGTCTCCCATTAAACTGATTGTCCCATCTTCTGATTCACAACACCGTGATGCTCTGTTTGGAGGCGAACTCCTTCCACCCACCTTTCTCATACTGTCAAAGACCAGCCGTTGAACACCGAGCCACCGAGTATAGAGATGGAGCTCCTGTTCCCTAAAATAGTGCTTCTAGGAACTGAATGACTCCCGCTCTCCAACCCCGCGATAAACCCACCGCTGCCTCCCAAGATTTACAGAACGATCTCACTTTCGCTCGCCACTTCCCGTCCTCTGCATCCTCTCACCAACTCACAAACACACACAAATAACTAAACCTTTCCTGTGGCCTGCAACCTCAGCAGTCAACACTAACCGAGAAGGTGAAGAAGAAAGCCAAAAGAAGGGAAAGTCAGGCACCCAAAAAGAACAAATTCATACACAAAAATACCAAATTTCTTCTACCTTGTTCGTGGAGGAGGCCTGCAAAACTGGGATGGCGGCGACCCATGAACCGGGAGATCCTTCGCTCGGCTTGAGGGCATCCCTGCGCGAGACTCCCGCCAATGTTCGAATCATTGTGACACAGCACGAAAACAATCAAAAATAAACTGGAGAATATGATTATGGAAGTATAAATAGCTCCACAGCTGGTCACCGTAGTAACCTTGACGGGATGATAAACTTGCATGCGTGATTTTTTTATGAGCATCCAAATTCAGTGGCCCCAATGGCCCATCCACTCGGCCAAATCACTGGCCCTAGTTATGTAAGCCTGCAATTCAGTAGAATAACTGTTGTAATCATGAGGCATTTGAACTTTACCGATAAATGATGGCCACATAGATTCTCATCATGCTAAGTATACCGATCTAATCATATTTCGTGGCTTGAAATCGACCAACTCTGACCAAACTGAATCTCCTCGTATAAATTTGTAATCTGCAGCATCACTTCACTATCGCTGCCATACTACTATACGCAAAATACCCTGAAGGAGTCATTTTTCCGTAGTTCAAATTGAGACTGTGGAGCTGGTCCATGACGTGTGCTGGTTTTCCTGGCAGATTTAAGGTGTAGTATTAGTTCCACTAAAGCAGAAGATGATGCTGATGAACGCCTGGTGTGATCTTTCACCTGCATGAAGCAATGGGATTATAAAGGATAAGAACAACATATAGTTGATGTTAAGCGTTGCAAAAGGAAAGAATTATTTCGTAAAATCTCAAACCCAAATTCTGTTATCTACCCAAATTGAAGCCTAGATGTACACACAGCCCGCAACCTGTAAAGAGCACTGAACATGCAAACAAAGACGTACAATATAAGTTTTCAATAAATAAAAAACAAAACTTTTTGTAAGCAACTTTCACCACGCACAGGCAGTATACTATTGGGTACAATGAAAGACCCCATAACAGCAGCAGAAAAATAGTACTTGCTGGTTTCACTCACAAACTCTGAAGACCTAGACCAATAATTATTATCACATGACTACCATTGCATGCTTCAATGAATTTGGTTGCAACCAAAGAGCCTAATCTAATTGACTTCACAACAGACCTCAGTAACTACAATCCAAACAAATTCTTTTTTAAGTGAATGCAAACAAATTCTCAGGACAAAAAAATGCAATTCCTGTTAAATCCCCTCACAATTCATAACTTGACACTACACTATAAAAAAAAAAAAAAAAAAACATGAGCACCATTAACCCTCGGGCCAATCGAGGAATAGAAAGAGACAGCTTCCACGGACCAAGAGAATCAAATACCTCAGCATGGGTGGAAATGAAAGCGAGACAGTTGTTGAAACCGAGGCGCTAGGAGTAGTGCTCCAGCTGCTACCAAATTTGGGACTTCATCAGTAGTTGAAGGTGAAATCAGAAACTCTAAGAACGCGCAGATCTCCTTCAAACCACCTTCATGTTGCTGTCA